CTAAATTCTAGTCACACACACACACCCACACACACACACACACACACACACACACACACACACACACACCTTTAGAGTAAGTTGAAGAACAAATGCACTGCTCAGAAACTTCTTTATCTTTTTCCAGCAGTCCCTGATGCCATTAAGCCGTTACTAGCCATTACTAAATCACCTAAAATTGCTCTTATTTACTTTCTGAATGTGAGAATATGTTTGTTCGCTGCAACAAACAGTCTCTTACATTCACACAAGATTGAGACTGATGAATCAACCTGTCCTTTACCAAAGCTCATCAGATCAAACTATCTCTGGGATTTTATGTTTTACTCGGTAAAGTTCAATAAATGCCTGTCACCAATAAGTTTATAAAGGAAACACAGCAGATCCTACAGGAACAGTTCACCCAGAAATTTAAATTAGCTGACAATTTACTTCACCCTCAGGCCACACAAGATTAGGATGAGTTTGTTTCTTCATCAGATTTGTAGAAATGCAGCATTGCATCAGTGTCTCAGCAATGGATGCTCTGCAGTGAATGGGTGCCGTCAGAATGAGAGCTGATAAAAACATCACAATAATCCACAAGTAATCCACAGCACTCCAGTCCATCAGTTAACATCTGGAGAAGACTAAAGCTGAAACAAATACAGCATTAAGACGCTTATTTTAGCTGTTTGGACTCTCATTCTGACGGCACCCATTCACTGCAGAGCATCCATCGCTGAGACACTGATGCAATGCTACATTTCTCCAAACCTGATGAAGCAACAAACTCATCCTAATCTCGGAGGACCAGACGGTGAGCACATTTTCAGCAGATTTTCATTTTTGGCTGAACGATTGCTTTAATTCTATTGATGGCTACTGACTTCATCAATAATTGCCCAGTGATATTTAAAAGTCCATTTGAATGTTTCAGTAAGCAGTTATTTCCAGTCATTTTGCTGCAATCTGCTGTGAAATAATTCACATATTTACCACTTGAGGTGATATTCCCAAATGTCAGATGGAAAAAATAAATAACTAAATGACAAACTCGGAGCACCTGCCGAGCTCGATCAGATTTCCAAAAGGGTACTGAGGATTTCAGGCATCTCTAATCTCAGTTTTCTCTCTTGATTCGTTTATGGCCTCCAGTCACCTTTTCACCTTTCCTTCACCCTTTAAATCTTCCCTCAAGTCTTTTTTTCACTTTAAAGGCTTTCTCTTCCACTAGCTCTGTCTCTCTCTGACATTTCATTGACGTTCTTCTTGAAAGGCTCTCTGAATATCCACAGAGTTTCTTGTTTTATGCATCTTTTCCCAATCGTCTGCTCACATTGTTTTTTGCCAGACTTTCTCTCGAGTCATTTTAAACATTTGACAGCATGTCATCAGTCAGCTCGGCCTATAATTCATGAGCTGTAGAGCTCTATGAGGTTATGAGGGACAAGTATCTGCTGCGTCTGAGTGTTGAAGAGGTTATTTTGCATGTATCTTGCTATATCAAAGGTATTTTCATATGGAAAAAAACAACATCATATTATTGCCCCTATTACTATATTTTCCTCTGGACTACGGACTGTGGGGAAAAGACTCCTCTAGCTGCTTTTATTTATTTATTTATTTATTTTTATACACACACACACACACACACTCACGCACACGCACACACACTCACGCACACACACTCGCGCACACACACACACACACACTCTCTCACATGCACACACACGCACACACTCGCGCACGCACACACACTCGCGCACACACACACACACACACTCTCTCACATGCACACACACGCACACACTCGCGCACGCACACACACTCGCGCACACACACACACACACACTCTCTCACATGCACACACACGCACACACTCGCGCACGCACACACACTCGCGCACACACACACACACACACTCTCTCACATGCACACACACGCACACACTCGCGCACGCACACACACTCGCGCACACACACACACACACACTCTCTCACATGCACACACACGCACACACTCGCGCACGCACACACACTCGCGCACACACACACACACACACTCTCTCACATGCACACACACGCACACACTCGCGCACGCACACACACTCGCGCACACACACACACACACACTCTCTCACATGCACACACACGCACACACTCGCGCACGCACACACACTCGCGCACACACACACACACACACTCTCTCACATGCACACACACGCACACACTCGCGCACGCACACACACTCGCGCACACACACACACACACACTCTCTCACATGCACACACACGCACACACACACTCACGCACACGCACACACACTCACGCACACACACACACGCACGCACGCACGCACGCACACACTCACACACACACACACACACACACACACTCATGTCGTGAGCGGTCGACAGCTGAATGCTCCGCCGAGCTTCTTCTCTCTGTCTCTTTTTTTTCCCCCTGGATGACTCGATATGGCCGGCTAATTTATTCTCCTGTATCATTTAGTTCAATTAAATATATTGTGCTGGAACGAGTCCCGCGGGCCCATTCTGTCAGCCGGTGCTAATTATTCTCAATCACAGCGTCCTGACCATGACACTGCCTGCTCACTGGACTGCTAAACAGCATCAACACTCGTCCAAATGACAGAAAGAGAGACGGGAGTGACAGACAGGCCTGCGTGTTTGTCATCAGACCTCGTGATTTACAGCACAGCAATACTTTATGCTTTTCATGGACATCAGCCACTGAACACACATTAGCATCTTTCTGTGAAACTAGGGAGCTAAGACTGCATCGTAACTCGTTTGAAACACGTGAACAACACAGTAGACTCAACTCACAGTGGGTTTCAATGCCATCAATAACAATCCAACCAGAATAAAAATACTCTTCTGGCTGTGAGATTTTTTTTCTTTCTGCAGTTTACACCAATACACCAGTAGGCGGCGACAAGCTGCGGTTTATGACGGATTAATTGACTCATTCATTCAAACGATTCGCTCAAAGCACTGATTCATTCACGCGTGTTGTTCATAGACGTGACACGTTAAGGGACTAAAAGAGAGTTATTTTCATGACTTTCGTAACACACTTAAGTATACCTTTAAAAAGTGCACTTACATTTACATTAAAATACATTTTAAATAATGTTTAAATAATATTTTAAAACGTACACTTATTTTGATGTGCTGACTAACATATTAATGCACATGTAAAGCACTTGATTATCATTTCAACTGTAGTGTGTCACTTGATAATACATTTAAAGTTAGTATATTTTAAATGAACTACATGCAACTTCATCATACACATATATCGGAAAAACATGACATACGTGTTTTAATCGAAATGACATTAAAGTATAATTGATTTTATTATAAATGCCTGTCAGTGCATTGTGCATTAACCATATTTCAAAGACTATAGAAGTTATTATTATAAAATTACATATAAAGATGTACTGAAGTCCTACTTAAGTGGTTCAAAAAGCACTCTTAAGTTCAACTATTTGCATTTAATAAAAGTTTCTTAAATACATTTTTATTTAATTGTAAATAAAGTGTCTGCAAACATTACATTCAGTTCACACTTAAGTATAGCTATTCTTTTAAAGCATTTTATTTCAAAGTACTCTTTTTTTTTTTTTTAAGTGTACTTCGTTTTTACAAGGCAATGTATATCCAGCTGGTCATTATAGCAAAATAAACATCCGACAATTCAGGTTTATGTTTCTTTAATGGAGCTGAACTGACTGTAAATTATTGTTTACATAGAAGACTAAAAAATAAAAATGTATTTAAATTTTTTAGCATTAAATGAAATATAATCTGTGTCTTGCCATCTTAGATTTTTTTTCTCTTTGGGTTTATTTTCTGCTTTCGTGCTACCTGCAGCTACTTTAGATTTAGACTAGAATGAGTGATCTTATTAGGCGTCTCACCAGGTTTTGGAGCAGAGCTAGTAAATGATTGAGCTTCAGACTACTTCATATGGCATAGTGTATGCATGAAATGATCTGTAAGTGCTCCAAATCTGCTCTCCGAGATGAAGCATCTACAGATCCTGGTGTGAAAAGTGCATATTAAACCACCGCACCCTGATCCAGCGATCGAGCACATAATGTCTTCTGAGAAAACGAGCCGCTGTGGCCATATTTAGTCAGTGGTGTGTTTGAGTGAAATTGAGCAGGCAACATAAAAATCGCCGCTCTTATCTACAGATGTCATGTGATGAATAGTTTAGCCTGTGTGGGAAGGTTAATGAGCCTGGTGTTCATCAGGCAGGCCGGTCATCTTTGCCAGCTGGTGTGTGTCCTGGAGTCTCAGGCCATCCATCTTCCTCAGTGTCTAATCATCCTTCTGACACGGAGCCGGCGAGATCC